TAAACTCAATTTAAACTTTCTTCAACATGCTCTGGGTGTTTCTTGGTAGTTGTTTTCTGTGTGTTTCCTCATTTCATTGATGTGTATGTTACTTGGTACTTGAAATACCTCAGCTAGAGGAGCGATGAAGAGACCTGCGGGACGCCCAAGAGAAGATACCTTAGAGACTCCAATGAAACGGCCTAGCATGTCAACACCTCCCAAAGAGTCTTCCCTTTTTGGGTCTCCTGAACCTAGCCCAGTTTTGAAACGCCCAGCGGCAAAGAAGACAACCAACCTGTTTGGTCCTGAATTTGAAACCAAACCTGAAGGGCCTGAAAGGCCAGAAGATCCGGAGGAAGAGAACAAAGAACATGATCCTGTGGTTGATGTTGACCGTGAGACTTCAATGAAAAGGCCTGCTTCCTCACGACCTCTCTTGCCTGCAGCTTCCCCAAAGGCAAAGCCTGTTTCAAAAAAGAAGCGTGCACTTGCCGCCAAAGCGAAGTGTGCAGCTTCCCCTAAGTCGAAGAATACTAAGAAGGACAAGGGAGCCACCATTCTTTCCAGTGCTAGCCTCCCTGGAGATTGGATGCTGTATCAGCATTTAACCAAGAAAGGGAGAAAATATTGGAAATGGGTGAGGCCAGATGGCAAACAGTTTTTCTCCATCCCTCAAGCCACTCAAAACGGCATGCCAAAGGAGGCATTGGACGAGAAAACTCATGTTGTGGTTAATCACTGAAATTTTGAATCGGTTCAATTTCTTTCAAGAAAGTAGACTATGAAAAGATTAGAAAGGACCTTGGTAAAGGATACGCCACAACAGAGCGTAGGCAGCGGAAGATCAGCTGAGCGGTGGGAAAAAGAGAGTGAACCATCCTTCCAACCATGAAACCATGACCTCCAACCATCACTTGAAACGACCATATTTCATGGCATTTCCTTATATATATATAATTATGGAATTGGGGGGAAATCCCAGTAAAGCCATGCCACCTCTTGTCTTGCTGCATATCCTGTCCCATGTGGAAACTACAACGGGATTGACAGCAACAACCGTGTTTTCAGACAAATTGTCTGGTTGTCAATGTATTTGTATATCCATCTCTATATAATATATATATATATTTTACATATTTTGAAAATCAACACACAAGCATTTCCACGCAATGGAAGGCTTCCAAGTATATAATTTGGAGCCATGTCACGCCAGGAGCTCGAACATATTCTATCATGTCTGTTTTCGTATTTTTGAGCCTTATCAAAGAAAAACAATGGAAAAAACAATGTGTGCAAGGCAGAGCAGCGCGCCTTTTGATCCTAAAAGAGCCTAGCAGTCAAGCTAGTTGAGTTGTGGTGCACACTGATAAGAACAGATACTTCACCTGTCCAGCATGTCACAGTCATGTACATGAACCCTTTTGCACTCCCCCCACGACGAAGTCGTGTATAAAAAGGGAGGTTTCGTGCCTTGTGTTCGGAAGGCTCTTTACAGGGCTCAAGGCTCTAAAAGAAATTGGATTTGCCAGTGACGCCAGGTTGTTGTTAGGCCCCACTGGTCTTAAAGAGTGAAAAACTACAGTGCGTAAAGACTCGCACCTTTTGGAATCAACCTCGGCACGTAAAGACTCATGCCTCAGCTGACTTGTTGGCAGTAAAGACCCTGCCAAAGAAAAATGTCCGGCTCTCAAAAGAGCATCTTTTCAAAATTGCGCTCCACCTGGATCATGCCGTAGAGCTCGAAGTCACTGACAGGGCCGGTGAATCGGATCTCACCGTCACCCTATCGGCAGCCTCTTCACGGCGCTCCACATAAACATTTGTGGAACTCGCTGCAGCTTTCGATGTTGTCGTTGGCGGACGCAACACCGGTCGCAGACCCAAGTCTGCTGCAGCTTTGGCTGGTTGAACTCCTCGTTCTGCTCGAAGTTCGCCAGTCATCCGCAACATATGGGACAACGTCGCCCTCTGACCAGGGTTTCCCATCATCTGCTGTTGTGGTGGCTGCAGACTGCCACCTTGATCACCACCATATCCTGCCGGACCTTGTGGTCTTTGCTGCATCGGCGCAGCTATTGGTGGTTGCCCTTGTGGAGGTCCAGGCACATAGTTCGGAGCTGCCCTCGGCATCACCTTAGCCGGAGGTGGACCCATTGGAGGTGGTCCCGCTCTCACGTGAGGTGGTGGGCCCGCTGGTGGTGGACCTGGCATTGCATGTTGTGCTGGAACTGCTGGTGGTTTGGCCATGCGGTTCATCCACTCCTGCATGTTCTGTCGTTGAAACCAAGCCTGAGGTGGCGGTTTCCTTCCAGGTTGAACCATCCCGTGCTCAAACGGAACCCCTGGGTCAGCCTCCTCCTCTGTGCTTTCTCTGGTCAGCCCATTCTTCGGCACAGCCACCACATTTCCTTGGAGTGCAAGCGAATGCGTCACCCCAGGAACCACTGGCCGGCGAAGCATCAAGCCCACCTGCGCGAAGTCCATCTCCACCTGCAAGCCATTGAGCACACCATATCTG